TTGAAGATAAGAAACAAAACTTCCAGTTTTTTCCAATTGTCCCTCCATTACAAAATTCAACATGGGGAATTTTGTAATGGAGGGACAGTGAGGGAATTGGGGGCCTTGATACTGTGCTTACCTAACATGTGTGAAACACTAGATTCAATCTCTAGCACCACAAAGGAGGGAAAAAAAAATCAATGTGAAAGGGAGATAATCCTCCAGTGGTTCACCTAAAAACTTTCTACCTTCCTCAGCCATGAGAGCCTATATACCTCCAACTTACCCCCATCCCTTTAGCCAAGAATACACCATACCTGAGCTGAGCCATCTTCTCCATGCCCTCAGTACTGATGCGGTCCCTGGAAAGCAGGTTGCTGAGCTGTAGTTCCTGGTTGTCAGCCACCCGGAGAAGCCTATGTAGCTCCTGCTGCTGCATGTTCCTCACATGCTGCTCTATCTCCTCAGGACTCATGGTGCTGGCAGGGAGAGGGCTACACACATACTGTCCTGAAGGAGTCGGGTAGCCTGGGTAGTAAGGCCCTGGGTACACACCATTTGTAGGGCCTACTGGGTACTGCAAAGGGCTATACCCTGTATAGGGATACTGAGAGGCAGGGCCTGGTGTCCGGGGGTAATAATAGGGATTGTCAGAGTTTTGAAACTTATAGTAAGATGCCTGGGCCTGGCGTGAGTCCCATGATGTAGGGCTGACTTCATCATCAGTGTCTAAGAAATGTAACTGGGGTGTCTGGTTCTTTAGAGCAGGTTTCTGATCAGGATTATTTGGGTCCCATAGTCGGCGGGTGGTGCCTCCACGGCCCCAACTCCGAGATCCTTTACTACCAGATCCAAATAAAAGTCGAGGTCCTAAAGGCGTGGACTCTGGAGAACCTGCTGAATTGACAGATAGGGCAGTATGGGCAGGCAGGATCAAAATGCCACGACCACGACCCCGAAGTTCTTGTTTCAGGTTTTTGGAATCCTGCTTCTCAGAGCCTTTGCCCCCACTGCTCAAACCTCTGTCAGGTTTTATCTTATCCACATCCTCCCTGGCTGATCTCATCATGGGGGAATCTTTGTTCATGGTTTCTGCATCAAAAGTTACACGAAGTGTGCCTCGATTTTCTTTACCATTGCTTTTCTGTTCACCCTCCCCACGGCCAGACCAGTTTCTTTCTAAGTGTGTCTTCTTTTCTGAGCTCCTCCTGGGCCCCAATCCTTCAGGCTCATCAATTCTATCCTCATCTAAAGAATCAGTTGAGGACATAGAAACTTGTTTCTTCAGTCGTGGCCTTTCCTTGGTCCTATCCTGGCGGCGACGGCGACATCCATTATCAGTCAGGCCAACTCCCTCAGTACTATTGTTGCTACCAGCTGAGCTGGTACTGCAAGTGCGATAGCGGTTCCTCCGTTTGTCTGAGCGGGAATAGCGCTTTGCAGAACCAGGCTTCCCCTGGGCCAGGTCATCATTCAGTTTCTTTGTCCCCTCCCCTTTTTCAATCCTTTTTCCTTTTTCTCCTTTTGCAGTCCTTACTCTGTCACTATTTTGGCTCTTTTCTGTCTCGGCTTTATCTGATTTATTCACAACTTCCTCTTTCACAACTTTTCCCCTACATTCATCTTCCTCTATTTTCAGCTGTTCTACCTGGTTGAGGATTTCCTCCTCATCCACCCGGCTAGCAGAATCTTTGATACCAGTCTGCAAACGCCTTCCAGCCTGATAGATCTGCAAATCTGGTTTCTTTGTTCTCTTGATGATTCTTAGACTTCGATCTTCTTGCCCAGCAGTCCTAGGAAAAGTCTCCTGTCCTTGATTATTTTCTGGGTCTACAGGACCATTTTGCTGGTGGTTATCCAGTTCCTTGCAGACATCTTTAATGAGCTGTGTACCATTTCCAACAGCACAAGCATTGTTATCATTAACAATTTCATCTTTAAATTCCTCACTCCCAGAGGGCTCCTTGATTTTAGGTCTGTTCCTTAGTCGGGAAAGACCAGGCTTATAGATTTCCAGATCTGGACGCCTGTTATCTTTGCGCTGCCTGGGCTCCTTTAATTCCTTCATGTTTTCTGTTATATTGGGGAAAGGGTTGAAGAAGAAAAGGCAAAAGAAAAGAATAAAGGAGGAGGGAGAGGGAAAACTGTCATTCCAATTAACTAACAGAAAAATTGAGCAAGCATACATATCTCCAAATGCTAATTTTGGTGGACAGGGAAGAATATTTCTGCAAAAGCAGAAATTTGGGGTTTACAGTATTTGTTCAGCAACTGCCAAGGGTAAGAATTGAACTGGGTTAGGAAGTGGGAAGGAAAAAAACTTGTATTTTCTTGGATTGCCCAAGACATATTCATATTCAGATTTCTAAGACCCCAAACTACCTCATATTATTTGAACAGAAGATCTCTTAACAATTTCAGCATTAAACTATTGTGTTTATAGAGCCCTTGAAACTATCAGTCTTTTCTTCTGCCTCTAATATTTTTCCAGGGTAGCTAAGTATTTTTAATTTATTAGTAGAGAAATAGAAGTATAATTCAGTAATACAGCTCTTGCCTAGCCTATGTGAAGAGTAAAGCTCTGGGTTTTATTCCCCCCCTGAAAAAAATTTAAAAACACATTTTAGTAGAGAAAAATAAAAAGGAGAAAAGGAGTAATATAACAGTTCAGGACTGAACATCTCTGGAGAAAAAATAATTGCAACTCAAGTCTGTGAACTTGACCAGGATCTTTTACTTTAGCATACCAATTACCTTCACATACCTTCTACTGAAACAAACAAGAAGCAGTTCCCTTTATATTCTTCAACTTGACTTATCCTCACCAACTCTCTAACAGCAGCCAGAAGAGTCATTTCAAGAAAATACTGCTCAAACTATCATCATTAGAATACTGAGACTAACTGCTACTGTGATGATGGAATATGAGAAGAAAAAGTTCCATAGAAGAGCTTCCCTGGACACTGGGAGAAGGATTGTGACATGCTCTCAAAATATCAAGGACTGTGGCATTCAAGAATAAGAAAACAGGGCTGGAGTTGTGGCTCAGTGGCAGAGCACTCACCTAGCAAATGTAAGGCACTGGGTTTGATTCTCAGGTCCACATAAAAACAATAGTGTCTATCTACAACTAAAAAAAATCTTTTTAATAAAATAAGAGAACAGAGGTAGGCACAGCAGCACACAGCACACAGTCATAATCCCATGACTCAGGAAACTGAGGCAAGAGAATAGCAAATTCAAAGCCAGCCTCAGCAATTTAGGGAGCCCCTGTATCAAAATAAATGAAAAGGACTGGAATGTAGCTCAGTAGTAAAGCACCCTGGGTTCAACACCCAGTACCAAAAGAAAAAAAATAAGAATATGGGATTTTAAAAACTACTCTCCAGACTTTATGAATTTTCTAAACAGACAGATAAACAAGTATGCTTTTCTTTAATGTCTGTTACTTTTATTTATTAAGGGGGAGACTATTACAAATAGCCACTAAACATTTCAGTGGAAAAGTGACGGAATTAGTGAGATTATCAAGTACTTAAAATGGAATGTTATGTAAAATCCTAGTCTTGTCTTGTACTAGAAACAAAAATGCAAACAAGATCATAACAGGTATCATATATTCAAGCATTTACACCTACTTTTGTGGATTTAACAAAATAGAAAAAAGAAACTTAAGTTTATGATACCACTTTGGTATTTTCAAAAGTTTATTTATTTATTTTGGTACTGGGGATTGAACTGAACCCAGGGACTTTACCACTAAACTCCATCCCCAGTCCTCTTTATTTTTGAGACAGGATCTGGCTAAGTTGCTGAGGCTGGCCTGGAATTGTGTCCTCTTCCCTCAGACTCCAGAGTCACTGGGATTTTACAGGCATGCAATCGGTGCTCAACCAGCTGATATTTTCAGAAATTTAAAAGATTCTCCATCAAGTACGAACAAAGGTATCACAGAACACTCAGTCATCTTTGTAACTTAGGTAGGGATGAGGGAAAGGGAAAGGAGTTACTGCTACTTTCCAGAACAGAGGGAGAAAACAGCGTGGATAAACCAATTCAACTGACAAACGAAAACCAAGCCTTGAAAAGGTATCTAACCCAGCTACCACCCTACAAAACTCCACCGCCCAACAGAGACACAAGAACATTTCTTGGAGCTTTTCTGATGTGGCTAGAGACTTCAAATTAACTGGCATTTTGAATATTCTGATAAAAACTGCTCCCACACAAGCCTAGGCCAAACCAGAACAGAATCAACTCTGCTCTCTGCGAGGTCATGGATCCCTCGCAGCTTTCAGAAGCTTGCCTAGGGAAGAAAAGTTCAGCAGAAAAGTCTCAGTGTGTTTAAACCTTTCCCCTCAATTTCTCCAACTCCTTCCCTCCGACGCCAAACAGATGGAGAGGACAAGCTAGCAAAGGATTCCTTCGGGAACGCTACACACCGGGGCCTCCACCAGACCTCAGCACCCACTCCTATTCGCGTATCCTGACAACTAGGAATCCACCGGCTCATCTGAGGGAGCTGGGGCAAAGGGAAACAGTCACCTTCGTAGTGAGAAAGAGGGTGGAGGCAGGAACTCTGACTGGGCTCTCCCGGAGCTGGCCGGAGCTGAAGGAGCCCGACCGTGAGCCTGGCAGGGCAGCTAGGGGCCCGCCCGCGGCCCCCGCCCCCACTGTTGGGGGAAGGGGCGGGGGCTCCCGAGCTCCACGGACTGGGCGGGGAGGAGGAAGAGGAGGCGAGGGAGGCGGGGCGGGCAGGCCCGGCCCAGGAGCTGGGCGGTACGACTCACCTCTGCTCCCGGCCTGCGGAGCCAGAGTGGCCAAGATCCCTCGCAGCTCCGACGCGGAGATCCGTACACGCTCCAACCCCTCCGCCATCTTCGCGGCTGCTGCTACAGCTGCAGCGACTCCGCCACCGCCGCGCGCAGCCAGGAAACCACGACGGACCGGCGGCGCGCGCTCACCCACTCCCACCCTTTTCCCCGCCCCCTCCCGCCTGTCCTCCTTAACGACGGTGGCCGCACTGGGAGGAAAAGCGCTGGACGCGCGTTGGAAAGGGGCAGTGCCTTAAAACAAGCCAGAGCTAGAGAGGCGGGCGCTGCGCGTGCGCAGAGGTGTAGTCGGGGGAAGGTGTGCTGAGGCTGGAGGTGAAGGCTCTGCGGCGGTGAGGTGAGGAGTGGCGTGGCCTGGCTTCGGGAGGCCAGGTTGGCGTTCGCGGCGGTGGCTGCCAGTGCTGCTGTGGTGGCCACTGAGGACATTGGTGCTGGTCTGGGGCTCGGGTGGTCGGAGATACCCCACAATTCGGCCTTCTCCAATCATCTTAGTCCAGAGTCTCCCGTCACAGGCCTGGACTGTACCCCACGCATTTGTTTGGGGGCCTTAAAGATAAGAGCAGTTGTCGGGGCGGTGGCGCACGCCTGTAATCCCAGCAGCTTGGGAGGCTGAAGCAGGAGGATGGCGAGTTCAAAGCCAGCCTCAAGAATAGCGAGGCGCTAAACAATTCAGTGAGACTCTGTCTCTAAATAAAATTCAAAATAGGGCTGGGGATGTGGCTCAGTGGGTCGAGTGCCACTGAATTCAATCCCTAGTACCAGAAAGGAAAAAAAAAAAGATAAGAATAGTAATGATTTTGCCCATTTTTAACATAAGGAAACTGAATCCCAGACAACTGAAGAAGTAAATTGTCTAGGGTGTGATAACTGTTGCTACTGGATATCAGCCTTTTTCTTTATGCCAAAACTACATCCCAAACATCCTTACTTTATTTATTTATATATTGGGGGGCGGGGTACCGGGGATTGAACCTAGGCCTTGTGCATGCAAGGCAAGCAAGCACTCTACCAACTAAGCTATATCCCCCAGCCCACCATCCTTACTTTAATACATACATGTATGTGTGTGTGTGTGGTTGCATGCGTATGTATATAGATATCCACACATAGTTGGCTCTTGCGGAGAGGAGTAGTTATGTGGAAGATAGTAAACGTGGAGGTATTAAAACTCCCAAAATTCGATTTGGGAATTTCTATGTCGCTAGGGATTCTTGGGAAGAAAAAAATCACTTCTTTAGATCCCAGGTTGATTTTGTTGTTGTTGTTTTTCCATCTTTAAAATTTAACTAGACCAGAAGACTGGTACTAACCTTTTGACCATGAACCTGTTGTTGTGTGGGGAACTCCCTCCTCCAAGGCTGCTTACCTCCACAAGTTGCTCCTTCTTGTTCCCACATAGTCCATTGGACCCTAAACTCTCAAAAGAATAAGTTACCAATTATTCCATAGTCTGAGCCTAAAAGATTTGAACAACCTGACAGAACTCATTAAATTCCTATTATGTGACAGACACTTCACCATCAAAATGTGAAGCCTAAGAAGAAAGTCAATAAATATGTGATAAGGTTCAACAATTCAGCTGGCCTTGGTGGCACTTGCATGTAATCCCAACAACTTTGGAGGCGAGTGCTTTACCACTGAGCTACATCCCTAGCCCCCATCATTTAAAAAAAAAAAGAAAGAAAAATAATTTGAAACAAGAAACCTTTATTAGGACAAACAAGATGACGAATTTAATGCAACAGTGTTACTGAACTGCAGGTTGGATATGCCAAAAGTTTTTACTGGCAGACAAGCCATGAAATCTGCCTGGATTTCAGCTGGCTGGATTCCCTGCCAGCAAAAGAAATTAGCAAATGTTTGCTTAACAAAACCAACTCAATGGGGCCCAGGTTGTGGCCCAGTGGCAGAGCACTTGCCTTGGCACATGTGACACACTGGGTTCCATCCTTAACACTACATAAAAATAAATAAACAAAATATTGTGTCCATGTATAACTAAAAAAAAATATTTTAAAAAAACTCAAGAAAATTTACCAGAACTCAAGAAAGTAAAGATAATATATATAGGGGCTGGGGATGTGGCTCAAGCAGTAGCGCACTCGCCTGGCATGCGTGCAGCCAGGGTTCGATCCTCAGCACCACATACAAACAAAGATGTTGTGTCCGCCAAAAACTAGAAAATAAATATTAAAATTCTCTCTCTTTAAAAAAAAATGAATAAACCTTTAAAGAAAAAAAAGAGATAATATATATATATATAACTGAATCCAGTATGGTTGCACCTGCCTGTAATCCTAGTGACTAGAGAGGCTAAGGTGGAAAGATCAAAAGTTCAAGGCCAACCTGAACAATTTAGACTCTGTCTCAAAATAAAAAATAGAATAAATGGGTTGGGGATGTAGCTCAGTGATAGAGCACCCCTGTTCGATCCCCAATACAAATAAATAATAAATAAATAAATACAACTATGAGAAGATAGAAAACCTAGAAAATGGGTCCAAAAAACTAAATATGAGTTCCAAAAGGCAATAATTGAGGCAGAGCAATAATAGTCAGTGAAAGAAAATCTACTCAATTGATGGAGATTTTTTGAACTTTCAGATTTAAAGAATTCATGAAATAGGTAAAAACAAAAGACAAATATGTTTAATTGAAAACTTCTGAGTTTTCCATGTACTGACATGGAACAGTCTTTGAGATGTATTGTTTAAAAAAAAAAGATGTATTGTTAGTTGCTTTTCCTTTAAAAAGTTGTTTTCAGCTGGGCTTGGTGGCACACATCTATGCCTGTAATCCCAGCTACTGGAGAAGCTAAGGCAGGAGGATCACAAGTCTGATACCAGATTCAGCAACTTAGTGAGACCCTGTCTCAAAAATAAATAAAAAAAAAAAATAGGGCTTTGATGTAGCTCAGTGATAGAGCATCCCTGGGGAGTAACACACACACACACACACACACACACACACACGTTATATATACAGTTGATTCTGTGTGCCACAAAATCATCTGTTGTATTTGTAAATTTCTACATGAATATGTCAAAGAGGCGTGGAAAAATGCGTACCAGCATTTCCAAGTAGTTGCCTTTGTGGAAGAGGGGATTTGATGGTAGAGAGTGAAGGCTCTGTATACTGCTGTAATGTTTTAATTTTTGTATTTTCTTTCGCAGTGCCAGGGATTAGACTCAGGACTTCCCTGATATAGGCAAGCCCTCTACCACTGAGCTATATTCTAAAACTCTGAATTCTTAAAATAGGGATTTGGTCACATAATATGTGGTTAATTGGGGGGAAAAAAAAAGATGAATTTGGATAATGGAGGAGTGAGGAGTTCAGTTTTCAAAAATAAATAAATACAAGTCACATTTGCTGAGTACAAAGTAATAAAATTAGAAATAAATAACCAAAATTAAACAAAAAATTCTAACCACTTGGGCTGGGAATACAGCTCAGTTGGTAGAGTGCTTGCCTCTCATGCACAAGGCCCTGGGTTCGACCACCAGCACCACCAAAAAAAAAAAAAAAAATTCTAACCACTTGTAATTTTTTCCCCTTTTTTTTTTTTTTAACTGGGGATTGAACACAGAGGCACTTTGGCACTTTGCCACTGAGATACTTCCCCAGCCCTTTTTAAATTTTTTAATATATTTATTTATTTGGTTTTCTTGGGGGGCGGGGCGGGGGTACTAGGGGCACTTGACCACTGAGCCACATCTCCAGCCCTATTTTGTATTTCATTTAGAGACAAGGTCTCTGAGTTGCTAAGCGCCTTGCCATTGCTGAGTCTGGCTTTGAAGAACCCAAGATCCTCCTGCCTCAGCTCCCGAGCCACTGGGCTTAGACATGTACCACCACACCCACCTGTTTTTTTATTTTTGAGATAGGTCTTGCAAAGTTGCTGAAACTGACCTCAAACTTGCAATCCTCATGCCTCATCCTCCTGAGTTGCTGTGATTACAGGCTAGTACCACCAGTAGCTACTTATAATTTCATAAGTCATGGGTCAAAAAAGAAAACAAACAGGTCTAGGGTTGTGGCTCAGCAGTAGAACAGCACGCTCGAGGCCCAGGGTTTGATCCTCAGCACCACATAAAAATAAAATAAATAAAAGAAAAAAGAAAACAAAACAAAGAGTTGGGGATATTACCCAATGATACAGCACTTGCCTAACATGTTGCCCTGGGTTCGATCCCCAGCACTGGGAAAAAAAAGTAATGGATTCTCTAGAAATTAAGATAAAAAAATATATATTGCCAGACAGAATCCATGATATATCATTAAAACAGTAATCAGGAAAATATGTATCCTTAAATCCTTTTAGTATTTAAAAAATGAAATTAATTAGGTAAGCATTCAACAAATGTAAAAAAAGATAATAAAGGAAAATATGAGGAAAAGCATAAAGATAAAATCAGAAATTGATAAGAAAAAAACAGTATTTTTATATTGAAAAAAATGTTACTTGACAGATAGCACTTCTGAATTAATATAAAGAAATGACAATAGCTGGGCTTCGTGACACATACCTGTAATCCCAGCAGCCCAAGAGGATTGCTAGTTCAAAGCCAGCCTCAGGAATTTAGTGAGGTCCTAAGCCACTTAGAGAAACCTGTCTCAAAATAAAAAAAGGGCTGGGGATGTGGCTCAGTTGTTAAGCACCCCGGTGTTCAATCCCTGATTCCAAAAAACAACAACAACAAAAAGACTTTGTTGAACCTATACATTCTGAGGGGATTCATTGTCCTCAGGCTGGTAATCATAACAAAAAAACAGTTCTTGATAATAAATGAAAAACTCGGGCTGGGGCTATAGGTCAGGGGCAGAGCACTTGCCAAGCATGCGTGAGGCACTGGGTTCAATCCTCAGCACCGCATAAAAATAAACAAAATAAAGGCTTGCTGTCCATTTACTACAAAAAAAATTTTTTTAAATAAATTGAAGAACTCATTCTTCAGAAATAGACACTAAAGTGGACACATTTTTGACAAAAAAGAAAGAAAGGACATCTTAAATGGCTTATGAGGAACTGAAATTTAGCTCATTGAATTTCTGGTTTTCCTCTCAAATACTTGTTTCTTCACCAGTATTAAATCTCATTAATATATTACCATCAAAGTCAAAATCCTAGAGTTATTCTTGACACCTCTATCTCCCTCATTTGGTCCACAAGCAGTATATGTCTCTTCTATGTCTATAATGATCATATATGGAATCATCTCCCCAGCTTCTCCCCCTTTCTCTTGAAAACTCCCCTTTACTTCCACTCAAACTTTTTTTTTCCTTTTTTGTCTTTCTCATTGTTCTTCTTTCTTTCTCCCATCACTTCTTCTTTTACTGATCTTTTCCCAGGGGTGCATAGATTTGAGACAGTCATACTCTTTTTTTTTTTTTTAATATTTATTTTTGTAGTTGTAGTTGAACCTTTATTTCACTTGTTTATTTATTTATTTATTTATTTTATGTGGTGCTGAGGATCGAACCCAGGGTCTCGCACGGATGAGGCGAGTGCTCTACCACTGAGCCACAACCTCGCTATCATCAACAAGTGCTTTCTCATTTCATCTTTTGCTCTTCATTCCAATTCCCACAAATGTTCCATCCCTTCTCTCTTAGGTAGTAATTCTAATGTGTTTTAATATGTGTCTTTAAATATACATGTATCTTTGAATAATATAAAATGTTGTATGTATGTAAGTGTTTTAAATGTACATAATTGATATTGTGTTATGGATTTCATTATGTTTCTTTTTCATGTTTCTATAAATATTTCTGACTATTGCATAGTATTGTCTTAAACGACCTCACACCCTTGGCCACTGATTGTGGACCAAGATGGACCAGTCAAAGTCCTTACCCAGAATTTTTTGAACTGAAACTGAGAAAGAAAATCCCTCTCCAGTGTGGAAGCCATAAAATGTAAAACACAGGAGCTGTCAGCAGCCAAGTGTCCTACCATATGGAACCAGCTGGTCTGCAGTGAAAAAGAAGCCAACATGCAAAAAGCAGCAGAGGTGAGAAACAGAGAGTCCTAGAAGCCATTAAGTCCCTGGTTCCAGTTACTCCTGAAGCTTTATATATGCCTGTCTGCTTCCATGATTTGCTCAACTTTTCTTGGATTCAGTGAGCCAGTAAATCTTGACAACCTCATCTTTAGTCTAAACTAGGTCAAATTGGGGTTCTATCATTTGCAACTAAGAGACCCAACTAATTCAAACTCCAAAGTCTTTTTATTTTTCCACAGTACCGTTTAATTAAAAGTAGTGAAAAAACACAAAATTTATAATTTTGACAACTTTTAAGTATATAGTTCTTTACTTAAATACATTCCGATTATTGTGCAACCAGTCTCCAAAATACTGTACCCATTAAACCTCTCCTCATTTTCCCAACCCCCAACCCCTGGCAACCACCCTTCCTTCCGTCTACAAATTTGACTTCTTTTGGTACCTCATATAAGTGGAATCATGTAGCAGTTGTCTTTTTGTGATTGGCTCATTTCACTTAGTCTAATGTCCTCAACATTCATCCATGTTAATAGCAGATATCAAAATTTCTTCCTTTTAAGGCCAAATAATATTCCATTGTGGGCTAGGATTGTAGCTCAGTGGTGGAGTGCTTGCCTAGCATGTGTGAGGCCCTGGGTTTGATTCTCAGCAAATAAAGGTCCATCAACAACTAAAAAAAATATTTAAAAAATAATAATATTCCATTGTGTATATATACCACATTATGTTTAGTCTTTTGTCAGCGTTTAGCAACTGTTGCTTCCACCTTTTGGTTACGAACATGGGTGTATAAATATCTGAGACCCTGCTTTTGATTCTTTTGGGTCTACATCTAGGATTGGGTTCTGGGTTTGTCTTTTTATTTTTTATTTTACTTTTTGTGGTATTGGGGGTTGAACTTAGAAGCCATTTACCAATGAGCCAAAACCCCAGTTCTTTTTACTTTGAGTTATTTGTAAGTTACTGAGGATGACCTTAAACTCTTAATCACAGAATTGTACCACTGTGTGCCAGGCTGTTTACTTTTTTACAGGAGCCTCCCATCCTAATGGGTGTGAGGTAGTAACCTTATTGTGGTTTTAATTTGCCTTTACCTGACGATTAGTGATTCTGAGCACTTTTTCATTTGCTTATTGGCCATTTGTAAATTCTCCTTGGAAAAATTTTTATTGAAGTTCTTTAGCCATTTTAATTGGGTTTGTTTCCAGTATCTTGGGGGTTTTTTGTTTTTACACTTTAGCCATCTAGGCCCCCTTTATCCTTCATATAGAGAACCAAAATACCCCTTCATTGGACTCCCTGATTCAACTCTTGTCCCCTTCCTTTTTATTCACCATAACATAGCCAGTTAGTTTTCTAAAACTAACTGGGCTTGGTGGTGCACACCTATCATATTTATTTTTTACATTATTTATTATACATCTGCCACAAGGATAGTAAGCTTCATGAGGGCAGGAACAAGCCTATTTTTCTAACACTATCTCCAGACCAAATAATAGCTAATATATAGAGGGTACTAAATATTTATTGATTAAAAAAAATGAATGAGCTGGGTTTGTGGCTCAGCAATAAACAGAATGAATGAATAAACAAACGTCAGAGGGCTGGGGTTGTGGCTCAGCGGTAGAGCACTCACCTAGCACGTGCGAGGCCCTGGGTTCGATCCTCAGCACCACATAAAAATAAAGATATTGTGCCCATCTACAACTAAAAAATAAAATATTAAAAAAACTCAGAGATTAGTGGCTGTTTTGAAATATTAATATGTACAACTTTATACTAATAAATTTGAAAATTTAAGGTCAATTGTTTTGTCACAAAATTTTATTATTTCTGGGTTTGATTAAACTGTACATGTAATCCCAGCTATGTGGGAAGTGCAGGCAAGAGGATCATAAATTCAAGGCCATCTGGACAACTTAACAAGACCCTGGTTAAAATAAAACATAAACAATATTTTTTAAAGGGTTGGGGCTGGGCACAGTGGCTTATACCTATAATCCCAGCAGCTCAGAAGGCTAAGACAGGAGGATTCCAAGTTCAACGCCAGCCTCAGCAGTTTAGCAATTTGCCCAGACCCTGCCTCAAAATAAATAAATTAAAAGGGCTGGGGGTGGGGGTGGAGCTGGGGTTGTGGCTCAGTGACACAGTGCTTGCCTCTCATATGTGAGGCACTGGGTTCCATCCTCAGCACCACGTAAAAATAATAAAGATATTGTGCCCATGTATAACTAAAAATACATTTAAAAAGTGGGGGGAGGCTAGGTATGTGGCTCAGTGATAAAGCTCCCCTGGGTCCAATCCCTGGTACCCAAAAACAACCACCAAACAATGGGGAAGGAAACAGCTGCACATTATTTACCTAAAGCCATCGTTATTGGCCTGTCAGTTGGTGACTCAAGATGGTCCACTTTGAATCCCAAGACTCAATAGGAAGAAATACTCTTCTTTTTTAATTGTTTGTTTTTAGGGTCTGGGGAGGGTTGTATGTTTTTTGTTTTGTGGTACTGGGGATTGAACCCAGGGATCTCACATGCTGGGCAAGCACTCTACCACTAAGCTGCATCCCCAGCCCTTCAGCAGCTAAGAGCTCCTGGATCCCTGTGAAAGCTAAGAATGAAGTCAGCATAGAAAAGTGAGATCTGAAAGCTAAAGTGCAATCTTTTTTTTTTTTTATTTTTTTTTTGAGTCAGGGTCTCACTAAGTTGCCAAGGCTAACCTCAAACTTATCCGTCCTCCTGTCTCATCCTCATTAGTAGCTAAGATTACAGGTATGTGCCACCACCAACCCACAATCCCAGTCTTGTTTATTTTTAACTTTGAAACAGGGTGTGGCTAAGTTGCAAAGGGCTTTACTATTTGTTGAGGCTGGCCTGGAACCTGTAATCCTCAAGCCTCTCAAGTCACTGGGATTACAGGTATGGTCCACTGTGCTCAGCTATAACCATATCTTAAAAGTATTGTATGACCAACTATGTTAAACCACATCTGAAGCTAGGAAGAAGAAAAATATATATAAGGATGAGGAGGTATCAACTACAAAACTCAGTCTAACGAGGTAATCTAGTCAAGTGGCCTATTATGTAATAAATGTACAAAAGTTATTAGTATGTAATCATCAGCAAGTAATTTTGAAATCTAATGGGAAAAATACCTCAAAAGCAACAAAATTACATTGTACTTAGGAATAAATTTAATCAGATACATACAAGACATACTATGAAAACTCTTGAGAAATCTAAAGCACCTCAGCACCACGTACAAATAAAGATGTTGTGTCCGCCGAAAACTAAAAAATAAATATTAAAATTCTCTAAAAAAAAAAAGTTGACAGAAGAGAGCCAGGTACACTTGTAATCTCAGTTAAATCAGGAGGCTGAGATAGGAGAGTTGTAAATTTGAAGCCAACCTGGGCAATTTAAGAAGACTCTTTCTCAAAATAAAAAGGGCTAGGGGATAGGGTTATAGCTCAGTGGTAGAGTGCTTGCCTAGCACATGTGAGGCACTGAGTTCAATTCTCAGCACCACATAAAAATAAATATTGTGTCCATCTACAACTAAAAAAAATACTTTAAAAAGGGGGGGGTGGGTTAGGAGTCCCTGCGCATTTGCGCACACCTGTAATCCTAGCAGCTCTTGAGTTCAAAGCCAGCCTCAGCAATTTAGAGAAGCCCTAAGCAACTCAGTGAGACCCTGTCTCTAATAAAATACAAAATATGGCTAGGGATGTGGCTCAGTGATTGAATGCCCTTAGTTCAACCCCTGGTACCTGCTCCTTCCCCCCAAAAAAAGGGCTAGGGATGTAGCTAAAATGGTAGAGTACCTGCAGGTTCAATCTCCACTATCACAAAAAATAAAAAGATTTGACTAGGCTGGGACTGTAGATTAGTGACAGAGCACTTGCCTAGCATGTGTGAGGCACTGGGTTCAATCCTTAGCACCACATATAAATAAATAAAGGGGGCTAGGGTTACAGCTTAGTGGTAATTGCCTAGCACATGTGAGGCACTGGGTTCGATCCTCAACACTACATATAAATAAAGGCATTGTATCCATCTACAACAAAAATTATTTTTTTAAAAGTAAAGGAGTTCTATCCATCTACACCTACCAAAAAAAATTTTTTTAAAGGATTTACTAAAGAACAACTTGCCAGTAAATATACAGAAAAATGTTCATTCACAGAAATTAATGTAAATTAAAACTACTAGACATTTAAATTGACAGATAAAATGATATAGCAAGGATGAAGGAACATGGACATTCTTAACTGCTGTCGGAAGTATAAATTAATGTGCTGTACAGCCCTTCTGGATATCAGTTTGGCAGTTAAGTATCAAGTGTCTTATAAGACTGACACACTACCTGCTGCACTTCAAGTGAATTAAATTTGTGCAGGCCTTTTGATGCAGAAAGCTATTTAGTGAAATCTACTCTAAAGATGTATTGAAGTACAGAAACATCTCTAAACATTCAAATAAGAGTTACGTAAAAGTTAAATTATGGTGTTTTTTGTTTTCCAGCACTGGGGATTGAACCCAGGGATGCTTTACCACTGAGCTACATCCCAGCCTTTTTTTTTATTTTTTTGAGAGAGAGTCTCACTAAATTGCCCAAGCTACCCTTGAATTTGCAGTCCTGCCTCAGCCATCCAAACTTCTGGGATTACAGGCATAAGCCGCCTCACCTAGCTAAAGTATGGTATTTTTGTGAAAGGAATATAATGAAGTCATTTTAATGTAGCTGGGTGTGGTGGCATGCACCTGTTGTCCCAGCATTCAGGAGGTTGAGGTGGAAGACTCACTTGAGTCTAGGAGTTGGAACCAGCCTGGTCAACATAGTAAGGCACCATCTCAGAGAAAGGGAAAAAAAAAAAAAAGTGGGGCTGGGCACAAATATGTCTCTTGATAAGATACAGATATTCATATTATTGTTTGCAAGTATTCAACTGAGACCAATCTCTCAGTCTCAGTGAATCAGCCAAGAGGAGAGTTTTTTTTTTTATTTTAACATAGAAATAATGTATATTAGCACATCTACATATAATTACTTTCTGTAGAATTGGAGATACACCATATAAGGTATACATTTCTGTTTGTGCAGGACTATCACATGCTTTTAGGGATTTTCACACTACTCAAAATATGCACATATCCCATTATTTGTTATTCATTTTCTTATTGATAGACACTTTATACTTTTCTGCTTTCTGCTATTATAAATAATAGTGCAATAATATTCTTATAATTTTGCATTTATGTATATTTATGAGTATTTTTGTAGATAGACCAAAGTATGCACATTTTCAATTTTGACAGATCACTGTCAACTTGTCAGCCTCAAAAAGCTGTACCAATTTATACTTCCATCAAGTACATGTGAAAGCACCAATTTTGCTAAACTATCTTTGCTATTGAAATTTATCACGTTTTCTTTCTAGTTCCATAATCTAATTAATGAAAATTGAATCTTATGATCACATTTATTTGCACTACTGAATACTAATGAGGATAGCATATATATATTTTTTTTCTTAAATGGGGAAGAAAATTAAAAAGCTTCAGAGAAAAAGATTGGAACACCTAAGTTTGTCTATATAATGCTACATATAGGAACAGTTAAAAGATAAGCAATAAATTAAAAGTACATCTGTATCAGTAAAATACTTAATTTTTTGAAAGTGTCCCATTAACTCATAGGAAAGAAAAATAACAGTAGAAAAATTTAGGGAGTACATAAACAGGATTTCTCAGTTAAAAATGCTATTGACCAATAAGAAAATATAAATGCTATCCTCATTAGGAGGAGACTTTTGATCAGCCAGCCTGAAGCAGCCATATAAGACTAAGATTAAGGGATCAGTCAGGAGCAGTGGCACATGTCTGTAATCCCAGTGACTCAGAAGGCTGAAGCAAGAGGATCTCAAGTTTGAAGCCAGCCTCAGCAATTTAGCAAGACCCTAAGCAATGTAGCAAAACCCTGTCCCTAAAATAAAGGGCTGGAGATATTGCTCAGTGGTAAAGCACCCCTGGGTTCTTAAAAAAAAATTAAGGGATCAAAAGTTTCGAGGGAAAAATGAGAGAAATCTGGGGGTGAAGGGAGAGATAGTAAGTATCAAAGGAAGTGCCCATAAACTGTAGAAATGCAGGAAGCACCCAGAACAATTGCAATTCCTTAATGACATCCCCTTGGCTAGCATCCTTGAACCCTGCCCTTGTAACATAAGGGCAGTGCACAAGCACAGGGAAAACTGGTGAGAAATTCTGCAGCTCCACTAGACACTATGGTGCATGCCTGTAGGCTCGGGAGGCTGAGGCAGAAGGATCCTAAGTTCAAAGCCAGCCTAAGCAACTTAGGCTCTAAGCAACTTAGTGAGACTCTGTCTCTAAATAAAATATAAAAAGGGCTGGGGATGTGGGGATTGAACCGAGGGACACTTATCCCAGCCACATCCCCAGCCCTTTTTATTTTTTGAGTCAGTATCTTGCTAAATTGCTTAGGACCTCACTAAGTTGCTGAGGCTGGCTTTGAACTTTCGCTCCCCCTGCCTCAGCCTCTCAAATTACTGGGATTACAGATATGCAACACGCCCAGTAAAAAAAGAAAAGATTTTTTAAAATAAAAATTTAGGTCAGGCATGGTGGCATGCACTAGTAGTCCTAGTACTCAGTAAGCTGAAGTAGGAGAATCCCTTGAGCCCAGGAGTTAGAGACTAGCCTGGGCAACATAGCAAGACCCTGTTTCAAAACTAAACAAAAGGCAAAAATTGCATATTTATTTTGAACCCAATTCATTCAAGCAGCTTCACAAAATGCTTTTCATCAGATACAGACCAGTGGCAGTGTCAAGAGATATATGGTATGAGTAAGGGAATGACTTTAGCTTCCATAAGTAACATCAGTTTGTTTCCTATAAAGCTTCACCAAAAAACTTAATTTCCATTACAAGTCACAGAAATTCTGGCATTCCAGGAATGGAGACAGTTCCAGATAGAACCACAATCCCCATTTCTCTTCTGTATTACGTATTTTCAAAGCCTTCAACAAATACATTTTTATCAGACTTTGTTTTGACCTCTTGCTTATTCTTGGGTTTCAGAACCATGTGTGCTCACTACTGCATCTCCTTTGCTGATGTTGAAAAAGCTCACATCAACATTCGAGATTACATCCATCTCACACCAGTGCTAACAAGCTCTATTTTGAATCAAGTAGCAGGACGCAATCTTTTCTTCAAATGTGAAGTCTTCCAGAAAACTGGATCTTTTAAGGTAAAAGTTTCTTTTGTTAGTGTATTGTGAATGTTTTCAAATCCTCTTATGTGTAAATCTATTTGATTCTCCAGACCATCCAGGGATTTAGGAGGATCACAAGTTTGTGGTTGGCCTCAACGATTTAGTGAGACCCTATCCAAAATATAAAATAAAAGGGGCTGGGGATGTCATTCAGTGGTGAAGTGCCCCTGGGTTCAATCCCCAATACCAAAAAAATAACTTATAACATTTGAAATAACAGGGTGCAAAAATTTTAAGTTCTGATTACCTAGCATCATAGTGTTGATAAGCCACTTAATCTAAAAATCCCTTATAAAAGAATTATATACACATATGGGGGGATATTTGGATAATTATACTACACATAATCATTTATTTATTGTCTAAAATAGGACAAAGGGAGAATTTCTAATGAAAAAAACCAGGACAATGCAGTGACATGTACCTGTAGTCTCAGCTACACTGGGATCTCAGCATGAAGATCATTTGAGCCCAGGAATTCAATGCCAGCCTGGGCAACACAGTGAGACCCCATTTTTCTCTCACTTCCCCCCCCATACTGGGTATTGAATGCAGAACGCCTTGTATTTAATAGACATGTACTCTCCTCTTAGCTTTGTCCAAAACACTTTTTTTTTTTCCTTTTTCTTTTTCTTTGAGGTCTGCATAGGATGGCCTGGAACTTAAAATCCTTTTGCCTCAGCCTCCCTCCCTTACCCCAGTAGCTGGGATTACAGGTATTTGCCACCATGTCCAGTGAGATCCTTTTTCTTTTTTAGAAAAAGACAGCCAGGTGTGGTGGCTCTGGAGCCTCAGGGAGGAGGATCGTAAGTTCAAAGCCAGCCTCAGCAATTTAGCAAGGCCCTAAGCAATTCAGTGAGACCCTATCTTTAAATAAAAAATACAAAAAAGGTCTGGAGATGTAGCTCAGTGGTTAAGTGCCCCTGGGTTCAATACCCAGTACCAAAAAAAAAAAAAAAAACAGCCAGGGCTGGGGTTGTGGCTCAGCAGAGCACTTCCCTAATATATGCGAGGCCCCGAGTTCCATCCTCAGCACCACATAAAAATAAACAAACAAAATAAAGATATTGTGTGCAACTACAACTAAAAAAATTTTTAAAAAACAACAGCCAGGCATGGTAGTGCACACCTGTAATCCCAGTGGCTCAGGAGGCTGAGACAGGAAAATCGCAAGATCAAAGCCAGCCTCAGCAACTCAGAGAAGCCTTGTCTCTTAATAAAATACAAAAAGGGGCTGAGGAGTGGCTCTGTGGTTTAATCTCCAGTACCAACAAAACAAAAAATAAAACAAAAAAAACAACAAAAATAGACATCAACCTGGACTATTTCAGGCAAAATGAAGTGTATGTAACCCAGGTTTAAGCATCCATTTTGTGTCAACTTGCTACATAAACACACTGATTGATACCTTTTGAATATAAAAGTTCTAAATCTAGCCAAACACTCCATAATAAAATCTTTTTCTACAAAATGTCAATGCCTTCCCTATGCATAGATATGCTTCTATGTGTTAACTTACTACCAAAATCTTCTGATCATTAGGTGAGATTTAAGATCCTTTCAGGGGGTATAGTACCTATTAACTGAAGAGGTGGTTTTGGTTTTTGTACTGGGGATTGAGCACCATGGGTGCTTTATCACTGAGCGGCATGGCATCCTCAGTCCTTTTTATTATTATTATTATTATTTTTAAATACTGAGACAGTATCAAAAATGTTGAGATAGGGTCTCACTAATTTGCCCAGGCTGGATTTAAACTTGGCATCTTCCTGCCTCAGCCTCTGAAATAGCTGGAATTACAGGTGTGTACCACTACACCTGACTTAGCACATGTAATTATATACAGTGTGTAATACTTAAAAAGAAACAACTTACTGATGTATTTACTATACTTTTTTTTTAATATTTGTTTTTTAGTTGTAGGTGGACACAATAACCTGTATTTTATTTTTATATGGTGCCTAGGATGGAACCCAGTGCCTCACATGTGCTAGGCAAGCACTTCTACTGCTGGGCCACAACCCCAGCTCCCTATACTACACGTATTATTGTATTAGAGTATACACCTCTTTTATTTTACTTATGTTTTTGGTGGTGTTGGGTCCTCCTGCATGCTCAGGACATGCTCTACCACTAAACTATGTCTCCAGTCCTACCGTTTCTACTTAAAAAAAAAAAAAAAAAAAAGTTGGGGGAACCTGCAGGATGGTGCATGCTTGTAATCCCAGAAATTTGGGAGGATAATAAATTCAAGGCTAATCTCTACAATTTAAGGTTCTAAGCAACTTGTGAGACCCTGTCTCAAAATAAAAAGTGTTAGTGATGTGGTTCAGTGGTAGAGTGCCTCTGTGTTTTTTTTAAAAAAAAAAAAAGGATGGGTTATGGATATACCTCAATGGCAGAGAACCTTTGAGAGTTCAATCATGGGGGGGGGGGGGGGGAACCATGTTGAGCTGGGAGGATGGAGTTCAGCTATACAGCATTTTTTTAAAAACATTTATTTTTTAGTTGTAGGTTGACAGAATACTTTTTTTTTTAAATGTGGTGCTGAAGATTGAACCCACTGCCTCAAGCATAGTAGGCAAGTGCTCTACCTCTAAGCCACAACCCCAACCCCTATAAAGCATTTATTTTTGAGACCCTAAGTTTGGTCCCAGCACTACCAAAAAAAAAAGCTTACAGGATAAGGATGTAAAGAGAAAATATTTTTTTAGAGAGAGAGAATTTTTAATATTTTTTTTCAGTTTTCGGTGGACACCTTTATTTTATGTGGTGCTGAGGATCGAACCCAGTGCTCTGCGCATGCCAGGCGAGCGCGTTACCGCTTGAGCCACATCCCCAGCCCAAGAGAAAATATTTTTGTACAGCTAAATGCACTATGTTTTAAGCTAAGAATTATTACAAGAGTTGAAACGCTAAGCAAATCTAATTAAGTAAAAAAAAATTACACTGTTAGGGTTAGTTTATTATTTTAGAAAAATATCGTTTTAAGGTCAGGCATGATAGCATATGCCTGTAATCATAGCTGCTGGGGAGGCTCAGGCAGAAGAATCCCAAGTTTAATGCCAATTTAGGCAATTTAGCAAGACCTTTCTCAAAATAAAACAAGGGTACTGCTGGGTTCTATCCCTAGTACTTAAAAAAAAAAAAGAAAGAAAGAAACTGTTAATAAATTTAGTGTAGCTTGAGTGTTTACTCTTCAGTAGTGTACAAGGTCTTATATATTGTCCTATACAGGTATATGTATCATTTTTTATTTATTTATTTTTTTTGGAGGGGGGCCCTGGGGATTGAACCCAGGTGCACTGTATCACTGAGCTATATCCCCAGTCCTTTTTATTTGTTGAGATAGGGTCTTGCTAAATTACTAAGATTGACCTCAAATTTGTGATCCTCTTTCCTCATTCTCTTGAGTTGCTGTAATTACAGACTTGTACCACCATACCCAGCTACAATTTTTATCTTTTATATTATTTTTACAGTACTTTCCTGTTTCTGTACACAAATACTTACCATTGTGTTACAATTACCTATAGTATTCAGTTTAGTACAGTAATATGCTGTACAGGTTTGTAGCTTAGGAGCAATAGGGTATACCACACTTCCTAGGTTACGTAGTAGGCTCTATGATGTTTGCACAATGAAATTGCCTGAGAATGCACTTCTCAAACTTGTTCCCATCAGGGAACAAGTAAGGGATGCATGACCATACATTAATTCACCATCCCTCTTTTCCAGATTCGTGGGGCACTTAATGCCATCAGAGGCTTAATTCCTGCCACCTTAGAAGGGAAGCCCAAAGCTGTTGTTACTCACAGCAGTGGAAATCATGGCCAGGCTCTCACTTACGCTGCTAAACTGGAAGGTACTTGATAACTTCTCAAGGTAGTCATCAGATTGAGTGGAAAAGTGTCCTTAATTTTCATTCAGAATGGTGATAGCTATGGGGTCAATTTCCAAAGGAGTCTCTGATTACAAGCAAAATGAACAAAAGTTTCTATCCAAAATTCTCCTGACTTGTGCTCACATGTTTTTCCTCTCCCAGGGATTCCTGCTTATATTGTGGTACCCCACACAGCTCCCAACTGTAAAAAACTGGCAATACAAGCCTATGGAGCCTCTATAGTTTACAGTGAACCGAGCGACGAGGTAAAGAAAGCAGTGTTCAGCACTACCTAAACAGCTTCATTTGACCAACCACTCTTCCTACTATACTGGATGCTCCTTCTCAGTCTTGTTTCCTCTTCACCTCTGTTAGCACGCCCAAACTTTTCTCTATCTATACTCATTTGTATCACTTTAAATTTTCACCTCTACTCCAATACCTCCAGACTTGTATACCCAACAGCTACCCAACTTTCTCACTTGGATATCTTAAAGCTACTCAAACATCTCAAAAGTTACTGTTTCTCCACCTTACCTCCCCAATACTAGGGATTGAATTCAAGTGCACTCTACCACTGAGTCTCATTTCCAGCCCTTTCTTTATTTTTGAGACAGTCTCACCATGTTGCTGAGGCTGGAACTTTTGCTCCTCCTCCTTCAAAATCACTAGGAGTAAACCAAGCCCATCTATAAAGTAACTGTATCTAAAACAAAACTCCTCATCTTACTCCCCAAATTGTTCCCCTTTGTCTTCATCTTGGTAAATGGCAATTTATCCTTCTAGTTGCTAGAGGAAATCAACACTATTACACCCCACATCCAATTCTGTCCTTTCAAAGTGTTTTCACAATCCAACTAGTAACAAGCCTCCATTAACCATCCTTATTCAGATCATTACCTACATTCAGTAGCCTAACTGGACTCTGCTTCCAGTCTTGCTTCCTGTAGCAAGAACAACAGAACTTCCATTTATTTAGAATTTCTCAAATCTTCCCATGGTTTCCCACTTCATACAATGGAAATCAGGTTTTGCTTTTATTTTGGGGCTGGAGATTGAATCCAGGTCCTGACCCCATGCTAAGCACTAAGCATATACTCTATCACTGAGCTACAAACCCCCAACCAAAGTTCTTATAATCATTTTCAGCCTAGATGAACTAGCCCTTTGTTCTGAGGGGGTAAGGGGGTAACCAGGGATTGACTCCAGCCCATTTGAGATGGGGGTCTCACTAATTTGCTTAGGGCTTCACTAAAAAGCTGAGGCTAGCTTTAAACTTGAAATCCTCCTGCCTCAGCCTCCAGAGTGGCTAGAATTATAGGCCATGCCACAGCACCTGACCCATTGCTATTTGTTGAGAGGAGGGTGTGGGAGGGGTACCAGGGATTGAACTTAGGGCTCTCACCCCTAAGCCACATCCCCAACCCTATTTTGTATTTTATTTAGAGTTTCACTGAGTTGCTTTAGTGCCTCACTGTTGCTGAGGCTGCCTTTGAACTCATGATACTCCTGCCTCAGCCTCCCGAGTTGCTAGGATTAGGTGTATACCACCACACCCAACTCCATTGCTGTTTTTCTTGGGTCATCTTATCTTATGCCAATCACACTAACTTCTTAGCATTTCCTTAGAAAGACCATTACCCATTTTGGACTCTCTGACCCTATTACCACCTCTTTAAAATATTCTAGAGATCTACTGCACTTGTATAATTTGTCACTTTATCATAGATGTTTCCTGAGCAGTCTTTGTAAGATAAAATTTGTTTTTCTCTATAGTACTTAGACATACATATATTCACTTATATCCCACCCCTATCCTAAAGATATAACTTCTTGAGGGCAGGATTTTTGTTCACCGCTTTACTTATCCCCAGGGACTAAACAAAGTCTGGGAAAAAGTAAGTAGTCAATAGCATTAAAACGACTGAAACTTTTTGGGAACTTTATTAAATGCCTAACTTAGTAAGCTAAATTAATGTACTCTTTTAGTCCAGAGAAAAGGTTACAAAAAAAATTTTGGAAGAAACAGAAGGCATCATGGTACATCCCAACCAGGAGCCTGCGGTGATAGCTGGGCAAGGCACAATTGCCTTAGAAGTGCTGAGTCAGGTAAAACAGCCTAGTTACTTCTTCATATTTTACTGGTGACACTGTTTTGACATACAAAACCGCTCATTAATTGGCCTACTTGTACTTTGTTTTTACAAAAGGTTCCCTTGGTGGATGCACTAGTGGTTCCTGTAGGGGGAGGAGGAATGGTTGCTGGAATAGCAATTACTGTTAAGGTGAGAAAACACCTTCTGGAAGACTTCCTGCCTTAGGCAAAAAGGACTTTAGATACCTAATTCAACATTATCCCCAAATGGCCATTCCTAGAGATGGAAAGCCTTTCCCTGACTTACTACCCTCTTCATGTATGACAAATTTACAGCATAAAAGCACCTTACAGTCCTTCCCCTGGATCCATCTCCATTATTATTCACACCAGGTACTACCTTTCCCAAAATGACCAAAACCAATTATGATCCAGGCATCTAAAACCCAGTATTAGACATACAATTTATTTATAGTGCTTGAAGGTCGTGTTTTCATTACATCCATCAAAAGGAAGACTCTTACATAGCCAGAAATGCCCTTTTTCCCCTATTCTGCATACTTTATTTTAAGCATGTAGGTAATGCTGTAGTTAGTTGTAAGATGTCTAATATTCCTCTTCCAGGCTCTGAAACCTAGCGTGAAGGTATATGCTGCTGAACCCTTGAATGCAGATGATTGCTACAAGTCCAAACTGAAAGGGGAGCTGACCCCCAATCCTTATCCTCCAGAAACTATAGCAGATGGTGTCAAATCCAGCATTGGCTTAAACACCTGGCCTATTATAAGGGACCTTGTGGATGATGTCTTCACTGTCACAGAGGATGAAATCAAGGTAAGGCTCCAAGAGGAAAAAACCTATAATAGTACAACTTTAATTAAGCAAGACAACCTTCTCCTACTCGGAGTAACCACAGGGTGATTTCATGACCTATGGGAGGGTACCCAAGCTATATTAGGACAAACCTCTGAGGCAAGCAGAGATAAGATGAAAGTTGTGTTCTCCACTGGCAAACACACATGCATTAGCAACGAGAAAATTCAGACTGGGCATATATCTTCATTTGGCCTACAGAATTAAACCTTTCCCCTTCTCCTGTTTTGCTAATCCTTACTCACTTCTATACCAACAGTATGCAACCCAACTGGTTTGGGAAAGGATGAAACTACTCATTGAACCTACAGCTGGTGTTGGAGTGGCTGCTGTGCTGTCTCGGAATTTTCAAGCAGTTTCTCCAGAAGTAAAGAACATTTGTATTGTTCTCAGTGGTGGAAATGTAGACTTAACCTCCTTAAGTTGGGTGAAGCACGCTGAAAGGCCAGCTCCTTATCAGTCTGTTTCTGTTTAATTTATATAAAAGAAAGAGATGGGCTTCAGTGTCTCTCTAGATACATGAAATTTTTGTTTTTCATGTTCCCCTCAGGCAGGGCAGCTCAGTGGCAGAGCACTTGCCTGGTATGTGCAAGGACCCAAGTTTGATCCCCAGCACCAAAACATCTTCTTGTAAAGTTTTCAAAGTCCTAATGGAGTACAGCTATTTCAGTATATTTAATAGTTTTCTTAGACTAAGTATAAAAACTTCCATACTGAGCCAAGATCTTTTGTAAACAGGACAGCATACTGATGGACTAAAGTATAAACTACAAACTGCTCAGTCACAACCTGTAGGCCCATCTTTATAGTGCTAATTATTAACAATAAGACAGAATCCTATTGAATCCATTACTCCATGTCCAATTCAGGCACTGTTGAAGAAATCTCACTTTTCACCCAAGGTACTGGTTCTGGTACATATGGATCGTAAGTCCATTTAGGGAAAACTCGTTTATAAAGATTCATCAGTACTGTGTCCTGAGATTTTAGCTTCCCATCAAAACTGCATTTCATATGGCCATGGGTACCTAGAAACAAATATAACAAAATTGGTCAAATTAAAAAAAAAAAAAATTAAAGTAGTAAACTTCCAACACAATAGCTATTTAATAGCATAGAGGAAATCTATATAAAATCCCAAATTCCACATTTTCTTACCTAAAGGCTCCCTGATGTGTCCTCTACGGCCCCACTTTGTTCTCAGTTCCACTGGTTTAAACCATAGCACATCCTCTTAGAATGGAGCATACAAAAGACCAAAATGAAACATTTACTCATAATGTAAACACAACCCTCACACCATAAAAGCAATCAGATCCCATCCTCTTCCTTTGTACCTACCTCTATTAAAGAACATATAACGTACTACTGCCATCTTAGTGAAAATTTTGAAAGGATGACCACTCAGAACAACTCTCTTGATGACCATTCTATCTGGATCCACTGACAACAGATGGCCTGTGGCAACAAGGCTGTGCATTCCTAAAGGAGAAAAGGAAAACAACTATTCAGGAGTTTTTAGGCCAAAGCCTTCCTTTATTGCTCTGTTCACTTAAGAGAACGATGCAATATTTTCTTGGAGAAACTACAGTAGGAAAGCACAATGCTACCCTGGTCCACAGTAAACCACTAAATGCTATTCCTGCTAAGCCTGTCCCCTAAACATAGCACTCTAAGTAGCCCCTAGTGATTAGCTAAGGTCTACACAGCAAGATAAAACCCAGTTTACCATCCCACAGTGGCTTCAACTCACTGTGAGAGAAAGACTGGTATATCACTATCTTCTCTATTTGCCTTCCAAATCAAAACACAGAATCGAGAACAGTGATAATCCTATTAAAGACCTGTAAGCCTGTTCACCTCTGTGAACTCAACTTACCGTTGCTTTGCTGCTTGAAAAGCAGCACAGATGCAGGAGGAAAAGTAATTGGTGCATATATCGTCACCACCAAGGCCACATCAGCAGTCAAGAATCTCTGAAGTTTATGTTTATCTGCTGCCAAAATAAAGGATAAAAAAGAAAAGCCGAAACATTTTGAGGTAATCCAGAGGCCTATGAAAAGCATGTGAGGCAAGCACTCTAGCAACTGAGCTATATTATATTCACAGTCTCAGCTTATGTTTCTTTACCCCAAGAAATTTTTCCTGTAAACACAATTGATATATTTAACCCAGACCTACCCATGATTTTTCTTTTTTTTTTTTTAATATTTATTTTTAAGTGTAGATGGACACAACACAATGCCTTTTATTTTTAGGTGGTGCTGAGGATCAAACCCAGGTCCTGCCCGTGCTAGGTGAGCACCCTAAGCCACAATCCCAGCCCCTACCCATGATTTTTTAACTGAAGACAAAATCTTAGAGCTTAGCATGGTCTCACACACCTGTAATCACAGCTACTAGGGAAGCTGAGGCAGGAGGATGACAAGTTCAAGGCTGTGGGCAATTAGTGAGACCCTGTCTCAAAATAAAATAATTAAAAGGGCTGGGAATGTAGCTCAGTTGTAAAAGTACCCCTAGGTCCAAGCCCTACTAAAGCTTTTAAGAAAAAAAAGTTCTCCAGGTGAATTCTACTGCTCAACACCCCTACCTCATATGAGAATCAGTGCTTTATTGAGATTCCTAGATCCATCAGCTCTTAGTCTTGCACAGGGACTGGCAAACATTTTTTTTTTTAACCCAGGCACAGTGGCGCATGCATGTATTCCCAGTGGCTCAGGAGGCTGAGGCAGGAGGATCTCAAGTTCAAAGCCAGCCTCAGCAATGGCAAAAGCACTAAATGACTCAGTAAGACCCTGTCTCTAAATAAAATACAAAATAGGGCTGGGGATGTGGTTCAGAGGTTAGTGCCCGCGTTCAATCCCTGGTACAAAAAAAAAAAAAGCTTTTTTGTGTGTGGCCATACAGTTTCTGTTCCAACTACTCAACTCTGCCATTTTAACACAAAAGCAGACAAAAATCATACATTTGGAGATTTATTTTAAAGCATGACCATGTTCCAATAAAAGTCTGTTTACAAAAACAAGCAGTGGGGCACATTTGACCCAAAGGCCATGGTTTGTTGACATCTGATTTTAATACTAAAGGAAGATAAAATATTTTAAGGGAAAGAAATTATTTTAGATAACACAGTTGGCTAAATAAAAACCATGCAGAGCACATTAGTGGCTGCATTCATCTCTTCCTCCTATCATTGCTGAAATCTCAGTTAAGGTATGTTCATAAGCCCCCAGGTTAGTGGGCAATACACCTGGCTAGTACTGAAGTGTAGGAATACAATGATTATTCCCACCAAAAGGATTCCTGGTCACCATCCTCCAAACTCTGTCATCTGGTCTTTACACCTCAAAACCCACACTTTTCTTCTTTATCCAATTGTAGGCTACACCCAGCCTCCATCCCTTCACCCACATTGACACTGGCATATCAGATACCAAGATTTCCATGCCATGACACACCCTTTTCATAAAGCTGCCAACTCTGATTCAAATCCTATTCTAGAATAAATACTCATGGCAGAGAAGCCTCAGCAGCACACAGAATTTACATCAATGAGATGTTTCAGACAGGTTCAGACATTTTGAATAAGAACATCATTGGCTCCTAAGCCAGAGTACTGAAAATACCTCTAATACTAGCTATTCTGCACCCAGCGCCCATCAGCAAAAAGTTACAGATTCCTAGAAGTCAGTAAGATGGACTAGAACCCAGAAATTTGCCCACTGCTAACCTGCAGTATGCTGAGAAAATAAAGGTGAGGCTCGGAAACGCCTGAATCCACAGTGGAAAATCAACTCTTCTTTGGCCTTTACAGGTTCAGTATAGCCAGGATTCCGGCTTACCACCATGTTCAACACTGACATCTGAGAACCAATAAGAAAAAAAGCTTCATAGTCTAGGAATAAACCAGCCTAACCTGAAAGGCAGCAAACTAAATGAACATCAGCCACACAATAGAACTGACAATGCTAATTCATGGCAAATTATAGAGATGATGGGACACAGGTGTATCCTTTATGTCCATTAACAACTGGCACTAGAACTGAAAATAGGCTTGACCAGAGTTTTCATGCATCCTTCTATGCTAGCTTATCTTCCCAGATCTAATATTAAAAAGCTTACCATATGCCACAAATACCAGTGGTCCTCAAGTCATTTACTTACCACATCCCTTCAAAATCACTCATTAGACTTCTCTTCCTCAACCTGTACTCACACTAACCAAAAGTCAAGAGCTATCAATCACATAACCCCCAAAGTGACAACTACTGGCTACCTAGAGAAGAGTTTGCACTTTGACATAAAACTTCATTTTTAAGATTGCCAGTCCTTTGTTCAAAATCTGACCTCAAAAACATACTTAGAGAAGTCTCAGAACCACACAAAGATTACATCACTGAGATGCTTCAGACAGGTTCAGACATTTTGGGTAAAACCATCATTGACTTCTCCATTGTTTTCTGAGTCCTAAAGTCAAAAGGTAAAATCCTCATATCCCATTGAACAATGTCATGAATGGGTTAAAAAAGTCTCTTAACTCTCCATTTCCCAAAAGACACTAATTTACCTTCTGTTCATGAGGTAGCAAAGAAAATGCAATCAAAGGGGCTCCTTTCCTGAAGTATTCAACTACTGAAAAAGGGACTTCAGAGACATGAAGTGTGACATACCAGCCAACCTGCCAAAAGGAAGCAGAAAACAACCACAAGGTTATCCTTAGAAACATTTCTCCAGGACTGGGAATGTGGTTCAGTAGTAGAGCTTTTGCTTAGGATGTCCCAGGCCCTGAGTTCAATCCCAGCACCAAAATATAATACAACAAGAAATATTTCTCTAAATGTGTGCAAAGTCTCTCAGACTAACCTAAAACCTACACTTATCTTCTGCCTTTCACAGATGCCTCTACTACCCAGATTGAATTTTTTTTTTTTTGGTACCAGCGATTAAATCCAGGGAAACTTAACCACTGAGCCACATCCCTAGCCCTTTTTTTATGTTAGAGACAAGCCCTCGCGGATTTGCTTAGGCCCTCGATAAGTTGCTGAGGCTGGCTTTGAACTGGCGATCCTCCTGCCTCAGCCTCCCCAGCTGCTGGGATTACAGATGTACACTACCACACCTGGCCCATATTCAACTTTTTTATTTCATGTCTCTGATATCAGTGACTCAATGGCTCCCCTAATTCAGCTATAGGCAGCATAAAACTACATTAAATAGTCATGCTCATGCCAAGAAAGAGTAAAGCAGGCAACATGGTGGCAATCAAAAGCAAATTATAGTCAGGCATAGCAGCACATGCCTATAATCCCAATGGCTAGGAAAGCTAAGACAGGAGGATCACATGTTTGAGGCCAGCCTCAGCAACTTAGTGAACTACTTAACAAGACCCTGTCTCAAAAAAAATAAAAAGGTTTAGGGATATAGCTCAGGGATAAAGCACCCCTTGATTCAATCCCCAGTACCACCCTCTCCCCACCAAAGGCAAATAATGGAGTGGACAATGGACAGATACCTCAGCTCCTTCATCCTCTTTTTCCTCAATCTCTTTAAAGATTCTTTTCCTAGTATTGGTAAAGTTCTGAAACTGAAAGATCCGAGCATAATCTCGAGGAAGATTTTCCTTAGGATCCCATGGAGATGTCCGGAAGCTCTTAAGGCCTCTGTACTTCTGAAATCTAAAATATAGGAAAATTCAGAGAAATTAACAACAGACTATATGGTGCTATATAAGACATGACTTTGATAACAGCTAAGGCTCTATTTTTAAAAACTCTAATCACTCTCTCTCTCAAAATAACCTAATAACTTAAACCAAGACCACATTTTTAAAACAGTTTTTTAAAAATGTATTTATTTTTTAGTTATACTTGGACACAATACCATTATTTTACTAATTTATTTTTATATGGTGCTGAGGATCGAACTCAGGGCCTTGCCCTAGCTAGGTGAGCACTCTACCACTGAGACACAACCCCAGCCCCTTAATTCAGTTTTTAACAACTATTTCAGAAGTATATCCAGACTTCTCACCAAGGATAAAGTATTTACAGATCTCTGGTAATAGTCTTAGCACTCTAGTAGCCAACATACACTCTCTGGCTTTAGTGAACTCACTTCCAGAGCAGGCACTATTGTCTATTGCTTCATGCTTTTACTTTTGTTGCCCTCCCAAAGTTCCCCTAAAATCTCCAAACATTCTGTACATATTAGTTCCAACAGAGTATTTGTTAATTAACCTTGTTATTTCTCCTTTATTAAAGTCCTGTAACATTAGTTGTACCATAGTCTAAAACTTTATTATATATTATAAACGACTATTTCCCATGAGTGTTGACTACCCACATAGAATGTTGGCCCTTAACGAACAGGGAACAATGTCTTTTTCTTCTTTTGCATCACAGTGACATAATTCTGAGATATATTTTTTAAATAAAAACTTATTGTTGAATTTAGACTTGCAGACTAACCGAATTTTAGCAGCCACATCACGGGGGGTGTCCATTTCATCTGGAAACATTTCTTCCATCCTTTCTTGTTTATATTTCTCTAACATTTTTTCCTCAGCCTCCTCATCCATTTTCTCATCATAAAGGTCATCACGTACAGAGTCCCCTATAGTCATAGTTTCACATTCCTCCTCCTCTTCTTCACTTTTTTCATCCTATAAAATAAAGGATTACAACTGGGTGTGGATGCATGCCTATAATCCCAGCAGCTTGGGATGCTGAGGCAGGAGGATCACAAGTTCACAGCCAGCCTCAATAAAATACAAAATAGGGCTGGGATATGGCTCAGTGGTTGAGTGCCCCTGAGCTCAATCCCTGGTACCCCCCCCAAAAGAATTAGTTATTTCAAAAGAAAGTCCCCCATCTCTACCCCATAGGCCATTAAGCTAAAAATAATTTTACTAGAACTTAGTCCCAACTAACATAAATGCTAATAAAAGATTAAAATAGGGGCTGGGGTTGTGTGTGGCTCAGCGGGAGAGCACTCGCCTAGTATATGTGAGGCCCTGGATATGATCCTCAGCATCACATAAAAATAAATAAATAAAATAGAGGTACTGTGTCCAACTGTAACTAAAAAATAAAATATTTTTTTAAAAAGATTAAAATATAAAACAAGTTTCATTCCCAGAAACTACTATACACACCCCTCAAGATCAGGATTGCACTCTGCCTATTTGGAGTTGTATACAAAAATGGGCCCAGGGGTAATTTCCCTACCTGAGATTCCTCTTCCATAAAATCCTGTTCTGTGTCATCATCTTCATCTCTTTCCCCTCCACTTTCACCACCTTCATCCAAAATCCATTCAGCTTGGTAACTGGACGTTCCTTTGGGGACCTTCTTTACCACCTTAGAACCTTCCTTCAAATAATCTGTAAAAATCCAAACAAGTTATACACCTCCATTCCCTTATCACTCTAGATAGTCTCACCTATATAGGATGATACTGCTGCCAACATGGGAAACTAGCAGACACCATGAGTAGAAAAGATTACTTAAAATTTAATTCAGCTCCCTCACAATTAGCAATACTTCCAAAGCTAAATAAACCTGGCAATAGATCTTAAGTTGTTTGTGTTTATTATAATACAATAACAAGTTAGTTTCAAAACGGAGCAAAGGTGTGCCCAATGTTTGCCTAGTACAATTATATAGCATTTGGGGGAAAGAAGAGGTGACAGAACTTCAACTATATCTTCATCCAACTCTACTCTATAGGGTGTGACCAGCTACCCTGTGAGCAACTAGTCAAAATTCACAATTCCGGGTCAGATAAATAACAAGATTGCTACTACCAACCTTTTGCCTCACTCAGCTCCTCCTCAGTGGGCCAGGTTTGCTCCCCTTCCATTGGATCTGGAATAACTTCTGTTTGCAAAGACTCTTGTCTGTCAGGGTCTGCCTTCATTAGGACCTTAAGATCTTCTTCCATGTCAGATGCAACATCTGAAGCACAAACCTTGAAAACCAAAAGCAGGTGATAGCCAAACATTAAGCAAAATCTTACTACAGCCAACTCTGACCATAAAACCCAGAAGAATCAGCTCTCATGAAGAATGAATGAAACAAAGTCAAAAGCTGTCACAATTTTTCAAATGGTCATTTAGCTCTGTACCCCTGCTTGAGTCTTCAGGCCTTTCATAATCTGGTCTTATTCCTAACCACATCCCTCACTTCCATCAGGTTGCTGTCTTCACAATTCAAAGAAACCTTATGCTTCATCACTGTGCTTAGGTTCATGTTGTATCTATCTTCTAATATTCTTTTTTAAATTTTTGAAATATAGATATTTTTAATTGTAGATGGACAGCATGCCTTTATTTTGTTTATTTTACGTGGTGCTGAGGATTGAACCTAGCATCTCACACATGCTAGGCAAGCGCTCTGCCACTAAGCCACAACCCCAGCCCCTCCCAACATTCTTTTACCTCTGCTCAACTCAAAATCACAATACTCAACACCTAGCTAAAATCTGATCTCTGTGAAGCTTGCTAATCTACCTTTTCAACTAATACAGCAGGTCCATATCTTACCATATCCAATTTTTTTTATTTCAAAGATGTTTGACATTTTCTTCTAATTTAACTAAGTTCTCTGACCATATCTCTTATAATCTCAGAGCCAACTGCAATGAGAAGTATCTAGAAAATGCTGCACTAATGATTTATCAACATATTTGTAGTTGACTGTTACTTGCCTTTAAACTAAGTGTCTCCTCATTGGCCTAAGTATGCAGACTACTTTCTCTCAATTTAAATTTTTCCATTCTGTTTCAACTTACATATTAATCTACAATGCATGCTTCTAAAAATAAATAAATAAATGAATAAAGATCAATTCTGAGCTAAGGTTCAGTGGTGACCACCTATAGTACCAGCTACTCAGGAGGCTGATGAAAATGGCTTGAGCCCAGAAGTTCAACATAGCAAGACCCCATCCCCAAAAAACAAACAAAATCCATCAATCTTACCTCCATTGCCATGCCTGAGTCCTTTTGGGATTTTATCACTTTAGGGTTTAAAGGAAAAGGATCGATGGGGGCATCTATCTGTTTCATTTGGAAATCACCATGTCCAACAATATGTAGCAAGCTATTTACATTCAGAGTCTGCCCACGAACATAGCCTGAGATTTTCAAGGTGCCCACCAACTTATTCTCTTCACTAGGTACAAAATCAGCAGCATGGGTAAACAGATAGGCTCGCCGATCTCTAAAAGCAAGATGCCTTCGCTTTTGGTTAGCCAACTGCCTAAGCAGTGTTGCTGCTTCCTGTTGAGTGTCTAACAGGAGGAGTCTGTCATCAGGAAATCGCTTCTCTACTGCTTTGCTTAGCTTCTTTCTGGCATCTATTTGTTTTTTCAGAGGGATACCAGAAAATCCCTGGACAGCAAGTGCTGTAAGCAAAAGAGAAGGATCTTTATAATTTATCCCTTCACTATATAAAAACCCCCTGTAGCTTACAAACAACCTAACAATTGTATTGAGATCACTCAACTACCCTAAAGAAATGTCAATGAGGCTGGGCGCAGTGGTGCACACACGCCTATAATCCCAGTGGCTTGGGAGGCTGAGACAGGATAATTGTGAGTTCAAAGCTAGCCTCAGCAACTGCAAAGCACTAAGCAACTCAATGAGACCCTGTCTCTAATAAAATCCAAATAATAGGGCTGAGAATTGGCTCAGTAGTTGAGTGCCCCCTGAATTCAATCCCCGGTACCAAAAAAAAAAAAAAAAAAGTCAGTGAAACCAAATTTCACAATCTTCTTCCTCTCAACAGGACAGCCCAGATATTAAAAAAAGAAAGAAAGAAAAAAACCCAAACCCTTAATTGGTAATTTGTAAATAAATGACCAAGATTAATTTGTACATGTATATTGCACTACCAGCTTAATATAGTCCATCAGTTATATTCAGCAATCAAATGCCAAGCACAATATCTGGAAAACCGTAAAAATGTTAATTCATGGGGCTGGGGTTGTAGCTTAGGGTAGAGCACCTTGCCTAGCACCTGGGAGGTACTGGGTTCAATCCTCAGCACTACATAAAAATAAATATAAATATAAAGGTATTGTGTCCATCTACCAAAAAAAAAAAAAAAAAAAAAAAAAGCTAATTCACTTCCTTCCCTGGCCTCTAATACTCCCAACTTACTTACTATAGGTGGGAAGACCCTGAGCAAAGAGGCAGGAAAGGCAGTAATCCCCAGTGCTGTCCCAGCCTTCTTGTGGATCAAGGAGGAACAGGATGGTATCAGCCACTTTAGCCATATCTAATACACTGTGAAGATCTCCTAAAAATAAAAACACAATAAGAGTAGTAGTTGACATGAGCATATAACCTCATTAACATTACTGCAAACATAAAGACGGAAAAATATTGTATACGCTAACCTGGCCTTGCAGATGTGAAAAACCACCGATGTTTCAAACGGGGGCACAGGAGCATAAAGCTATAGGTGCTTCCCCATTCATTTAAGTGCACTGTTCCCATGTCCCTATCCTGAAGAAGGCGAAAGGCCTCAGACAGGGAAATTCTGTTATGCAAAGCCACCACCAGCACCTGATGAGGAGGCCCATCCTTGCTGCCCAGCTGTCTCTTCTCTGCCAGAACCTGAAAAACAAAATCAGAGAACATCTCTGAACCATGCTCCAGTACTGCATTTCCAACAGTGCAGATGCTCCTTGCCCTAACTAGCACCCTTGTTAACCACCACATGCATTGGGGCGGGTGGGGATCGGGTAAGGAGCGCGAGATAAAGCAGAGAATGCTCTAGCGAGAATCAACACTTGTAGTTAAGCCGGACATGCGCTCTAGGATTATATTTCAGTTCTTTCCTGGCCACATTTTCTAGCACGAAGAATTACCCGTCTAAAACGGTAGAGAAACCGCACCATTCCTCAACCCCCACTCCTCTCACCGCCTCCTTCTTCTGCTTTCGGAGCTGGTTGGCGCGATGTCTCTGGTCTACTCTGCTGAGCTCTTTTCTCACCTTCTTGCACAAGATTTTCAGTTCTACACGACCTGGAAAACAGATGAAAAAGGGGCTACAGGGATCGACACCATAAGTTGTTCAACCAAGAGCCCCACTGGCCACCTCAGAGTCTTTCGCGTGGGTCCCAGACCCGAGACCAGCTGTCGAGGCACAGAGAAAAGCAACTATGTCAGTTAAACAGCCCTTCCTACACTATCTTCTCACCCTTTCCGTCCCGTTGTGCGGATCCTCGACCCCGATGCCGCCCGCCTTTATGAGCTTTATTCTGCTGCTTGAGCGGGCCGGAACGGTGAGCCGCCATGCCGAAGTTCACGTGCGCGGAGTCAGCAATACTTCCTGCCCAGGCCGAGCGCTTCCGGTTCACTTCGCGGGGGTGGGGTTCCCGCTCCCTCTCGCGAGGTCTTTCCCACCTGCGGGTGTAGCACTCTGTGCCAAAGTCTCACTTTTCCCACGCCGCAGTCTGCAATTGGGGGCTTTAAAACGCCGAATGTAGATTCTAGGGACTAGGTCTATCGGTCCAGGAGGACTAATTTGCTCCCTGTGTTTTCATTTATTTTTGCACTATAAAGTTGCATCACGTAGGAAGATGTTGAATGAAAGAATCCATTCATGCCTAGAGGCCTAAGCCCTTCCTCTCTTCGAGACTCGACCTCGCTTTTCTGCAGTTTGCCTCAGGTGTTATCACTGAGCATCCTTTCCCTCAATACTCTTAAGTTCCAAGGCGAATCGCGTGGAAGGCTTTTGTTTCACCCTCACCGACAGATCCCTGTTACTCTAACCCGCGCCCCACCTCCCCATAGCCTCAAGAAGGACCAGTCAGGACGTGGCAACCCCGAAGATGGCAGGGGCGTGGGGGCTGGCAAGGACACTTCTGCCCTCGGGCTCCCGTTCTCCATAACTGGCGACTGCGTTCCCACCTCTAATTCCACAAGTTTTGCAGCTGAGAGCGACGGCTGACGGGGGGTATTCGGAGAAGCAATGGGGCCAGGCGACGACCGCTGGCTGGCTTTCTCGGAGGCAGATTCTAGCCACAGGGGACCCAATGCCTGGGCTCCTACCTCCCTGCTGCCTGCTCTCCCGTCTGGAGAACGGGCAGGTAGAAGTCAGGGAACACCCTGCTGGGTTGAGGCCAGCCGAGGCGCAAGCGGCTTGCTCTAAGCGGCGGGGTTCAGGGCCAGCCAGGTGCTCACAATGCGGGTTCGCGCCCTCGAGGCAGAAACAGGCGCGTTGCCATGGCAGCGGCCCGGGAGGCGCGCACCCGGGCCAGCCGCCCCCAGGCGCGCAAAGACTCCCCCAGCCCCGACCTCCCCCCCTCCGTCCCCCCCCCCCCCCCCCCCCCCCCCGCCCCCCCCCCCCCCCGTCGCTGTGCGCATCCCCCTCCAGCTGTGGGAAGGGGCCGGGCCTGTAGCTTGACGTCGGTGCGGGGCTCAGAAGATGGCTGCGGAGCTGAGCGCCGGGCAGTGGCTGCGGCGGCGGCAGCGGGCGGGGAGCGCGGCGGGCAGGGGTTCCGCCTTGCGCGTGGGGCGCTGAACTGAGAGGCGCGGAGGCGGCGAGGGCGCGCGGGGGTCTTGGGGGCTGCTCGGCGCCGCCTCCCTGCCACCCGCCTCACCATGGGCAGCGCGGAGGATGCGGTCAAAGAGAAACTGCTGTGGAACGTGAAAAAGGAGGTAAAGTCGGGGCCAGGACCCCGGGGTTCTTGCCCCGCCCGCGCGGCCCAGGGAGCTGAAGGATCAGTGGCAGCCCCTACGGGCGCCCGCGGGAGGCCCGGGGCCAGGCGGGGGCGGGGTCCTGGGCGGGCTAAGGCTGCAATTTTCCTAGATCTGGGCAGCGCCCCTGAGCCCCAGGGGCCCGGCCGGCGCTCCAGGGGTTATTTGCTTCGCGGTCCCGCAGCTCTCTGCCCGTGACGGCAGCAGCGCCGGGAGACCAAAATTGGGGGAGGGGTGGCGGCGATTTTTTGGGAACCCGAACTGCCCATTCATTGCCCGCGCTGCCTGGGGAGGGGGCGGGGCCCCGCGGGCCTCCTGTGGCGCTGATCCGGGTGGGATTGGGGGGCTTAGCTCCTGCTGAGCTACACCCTGGTCCCCAGGCCCTCTGGCAACTGAGTCGTGGCTGTCGGAGGTTTGCCGCACACCCCACAATTTCTCCCTCCACGCCCACCTCCTTACCCAGAAACCAGAGTTTTTCGGTTTTTTGTTTTGAGAATGTTTTTTTAAGATTCAGATCCCCCCTCTTCAAGGAAAGCCCTCATGTCAGGAAGAAAAGAGGCCTCTCTACCAACCCCCTTTACCTTGACCCTGCTCAAAAGCCCATTTCAGTTTCAGTGGGTGAGGGGGTGCCCATATGAATGACTCACCAGCGTATGAGAGCTCAAGCCCGCAGAGTAGATGAAATGAATTAGGCCTCCTTCCTGTACCTTCCTCTGTGGCTAAGTCGGCCAGATGTGTGAACTCCATGAGGGCAGGCAACCCATCTGTTTTGTCCACTATACTGTATCCAATGCTGTAGAAACTCAGTGACTGGTAAATAGATCTTGAAGACTGAGGTCTGATGAGAAATTATGAAGTTTGGAATATTTTGGACCTGGCCCCTGTGTGACCTTGAATAAGTTAGTTAACCTCTCTGAGTCTTGATTTCTTTGTCTTTAAAATAGGAATAATGCTACCTATCTCATATATGAAACTTCACTATGTTGGTTCCTTTACTCCTTAGACTTTCAGGATTGAGGAAAACTCTAGGTTCTGCATTAACTGCGGACTGGCTACTATGACCTAACATTTGTTCCTTCCCTCTCCTTGTCAGAGATATAATTGAAGCCATCACTTTCCCAGCTTGTGTAAGAAGCTTCACTGTACTTTTGCTCTGAAGTGATCAAGGAAGAATTTCTTTTTTTTTTTAATTTTCTTTGTGCATTATAATTATATATAATAGTGAAATTTGTTGTTACAAATTTATATATGCACACAATATAACAAAATAATTTGGTGAATTTTGTTCCCCAGTAATTCCTCTGTCCTTCCACTCCTCCTTCCCCTGTTCCCTATCCTCTAGTCTGTTGGTCTCCTGTTTTCATAAGATTCCCCACCCGGCTACCCCATTTTTTTCCCTCTCCCTAGCCTCCACATATGAGAGCAGAAAGGGTTTCTTAAGCCCAGGGTATATCAAATCAACATTTAAACCTCAACCCTTTCCTTCCCAAGAAGGAAACCTCAGTGATTATCCTCAGAAAGAAGATAGTCCAGTGACTGAGACTTTCAGGAAGAGTATAAACATAAACAGAAAAGTTGCTATCCTCATACTACAGACAGATGTTGCTTGGATTATTGGTGTAATCCAAATTTGGTGGTTGATTAGGGATAGTGAGAAGGATTTTGAAGAGATGATGATTTTTTTCCAGTACTTGAAAGACTATATTATTCCAAGGATGATTCCTTTAAAAAGTGAGAAATGTGCAGAATATGCTACAATTATGTATCTTCCTGTCACAGGTTGACCTGCTCTGAACTTCATATATTTCCCTTCCCCTTTTGGCACTTGGATTACAGAAAAAAATGTATCCTTTCCCCTCCTACAAGAGACAAGGGGGATCATTGTAAGCAAGGCTAAACTTTCACAGTGACCCCTGGTATAGGTCTATAAGTATCTGTAGGTCCTAATCCAAAAATGTGCCTCACTAGCCTGCTTTAGGTGATATAAAGACCTTTAGCTGTGATATTATACTCTGTTTAATGCAAACACCCCTTGAGAAGTAATCTAGGAAACTTTTAACAGTTTAGAGTGCAGGCATCTATCCGATCTGATCCACATTTTACCTAGTCACAAAACCATGAGCAGTTCCAGCAGGGAGGAACCTCCAGATTCCTCCTTCCTTCCTCCTCTCCAGGCTCTGGACACACTTCCACTCTCTAAAGAATATCAGTGCTAAGGGAGGGCCTTGGGGGCCAGGGCAGCATCAGGATGCTGCATGCCTGTTTAAACAGTAGCAAGGACCAGGGCTTGCTTTATTTGTAAGATTTTACAGTGGGGCTGAGGAAATCCACCTCTTAAATCTCTTGTGTTAGTATCTGTCTCCTGGCAGATTCCCCCAGGACACTGTTCTTAGCTTAAGAATTAGAAGTAACTGGAACTTCATTCACTACTGATGTGAGTATAAGTTAGCACAGCCACCTTGGAGAGCATTTTGGCAATGTCTAGTAAAGCAGGATATATGCATCAGAAATTCCTTGTCTAGAAATATAAATTTTTAAAAGTCGGCACATATGTTCACCAAAAGACATGTCCAGAATATTCATAGAAATACTATTCATAACAGCCCCAAACTGGAAACTACCCAAATGCCAGTTGATTGTGATGTGTCTACACAATGGGGAATGAACAGTCTCCAATTACACACCATATGAAGAATCTCACCATCACACAGGAAAGCAAGTGAAACTAGTCACAAAACACAACATGCTGAGATTTTAAAAAATATTAAAATGAGAAGAACTAATCTGATGTTAGAAATCAGGATAGAGGGTACCCTTAGGTGGGAGTGACGACTGGAGGGGAAAATGACGGAGCAGGAGTGCTTTGGGGTGTTGGTCACATGTTCTATTTCTTGCTCTAGATGCTAGTTTTATAGGATTGTTCATTTTGAAAATTTACCAAGCTATAAAATTATATTTACTGAATAATCACAATAAACAGTAAACAATAAGACAGTTTCTTTTTAAAAAGCTTTTTGTGTTGTTGTTTGGGGTGGCAGGGATTAAGGTCAGAGCCTTGTGCATGCTAGACCTCTGGGTACATCCCCAGCCCCTTGAGCTTTTTCTTAAAAAAGATGTGACTGCTCACCTTATAAGGTATTTATTGGGAATCCAAAATCGTCAGGATTATTGGATTCCTCCTTGGATAGAAAAGATTGAAAGCTTATAGCCAGTGTCCCTGTGGCATAGAAGGACCTACTCCTGAACCCTGGAGAAGAGGGAGAAAAGGAAGGGCAGATTGTTTGTCTGCAGTCTTCATGGAAACAGTCTGTCCCTAAAGGACAGCGTGTCTACCTAGAAGCCCTTCTCCAGCTGAGTATCCATGAGCAAATAACCTCCTCTCTCTGTTCTCCAAGGCAAGCCACTTCTACCTGGCTTAGAACCTCAAGATGGCAAGTTTTAACATCTCTTCCTGATTTCCTCTCCATAAGACTTGGAACAAGCTGTGCTGAAAAAAGTTTCCTTCCCCACCCCTCCCATCCTTGTCATTTCAGCAAGTGTACCAAAACCTGGACCAGGAGGGCAGAGCCAAGCTATTTACTTGCCGAGAGGCCTTTTTTTTTTTTTTTTTTTCCATGTTCTTTGGATCCTAGGGATTAGACCCAGGGCCTTGCACCCACAAAGCACACGTTCTACCGCTGAGTCTACCCTCAACCCCCTCAAGCCCCATGATCAGGAATAAATAAATAAACAAGTAAAGGTAATAATGGTTTCCATTTGTCCACAGGTGAAGCAAATCATGGAGGAAGCTGTCACCAGGAAGTTTGTTCATGAGGATAGCAGCCACATCATTGCTCTGTGTGGTAAGTGAGTGACTTAGGGATAATGGGAAGTAAGAAGTTGGTTTAGAACTGAGGACACTGTCCTGGTGCCAGGAAAAGATGAACCCTCAGGTTTAGTGGTTTGCAAATCTGACTGCAGGTCCAAATCAATCTAGAAGCTTTTGAAATCTTTTTGGGCTCTTACCCAAACTTACTGAAGCAGATTTTCAGACCCATTTTTAATTCCGTTGGACAACAGTTCTCAAATTTTAGTGTGTATCAGTGTCATCTGAGGAATTTGTTAAAGCACATTCCTGGGCAGGCGAGGTGGCACACACTTGTAATCCCATCCATCAGGAGGCTAAGGCAGGAAAAATTTAAGGCCAGCCTCAGCAACTTTGTGAGACCCTGTCTCAAAATAAAAAGGACTGTGGATGTATCTCATTGGATCAGTGGTAAAATACCCCTAGGTTCAATCCCCAGGACCTAAATAAGTTAGTAAAATCCTCTGAGTTCCAACCCTGGAGTTTCTGAGTCTAGCAGGTCTGGAGTGGGCCTGAGAATCTGGGTTTCAACCAAGCTCACAGATGAGGCTGATATTGCTGTTCCAGGGGCCATACTTTGAGAACCACCACCCTGGGTAATTCAGGTTTGGAAACAGCAGCTCTGATTTATCCTTTTTTTTTCATTTTGGAGAAGGTTAGTACTTTCTGGATGCTTTCTGTCTCATGTTTTCTTTCTAATTAATACCACCTGGGTTGCTCCATCATCCTAACTCTCCATGCACTGGATTGGATGCTAAAGAACAGGAACCTCGGCTAGGAAGGGAAAGCCAAAGTTTTCCTGCCATGGACAAGAAAGTCTGTAATAGACTATTGCTTCCTTCACAGAATGAAGTCGTTTGTCTTTATAGGAGAAAACTTATTTCTACACACAGCTTACTTGGATTTCCAAGATTGATTGATTGATTTTTTTATGTTACCAGGGATTAGACCTAGGGCCTTGCATAGGCTAGACAAACTTGTACTACTGAGCTACATGCTTTTTAAAATTATCTATTTATTTATTTTGGTGACAAGGATTGAATCCAGGGGTACTTAACCACCGAGCCACATTCCTAACCCTTTTTTTAAAAATTTTATTTATTTATGTATCTTTAGTTTAAGGTGGATACATTAGTGTGTTTTTATGTGGTGCCGAGGAGGAACGAACCCAGTGCCTCATGCATGCTAGGCGTGCACTCTACCACTGAGCCACCACTCCAGCCCCCCTACCCCTTTTTTATATTTCATTAGAGACAGGGTCTCACTGAGTTGCTCAGGGCCTTGCTAAGTTGCTGAGGCTGGGTTTGAACTTGCTCCAATCTTCCTACCTCAGCCTCCCAAGTCACTGGGATTACATTACACCATGCCTGGTTTATTTTTTATTTTGAAACAGGGTCTTGCTAAGTTGATGAGGCTGGCCTCAAAGTTATGGTATTCCTGTGTCAGTCGCCCAAGTTGCTGGAACCTGGGGCATGTACCAATATACCTAGCACATTTCCAGGACTTTGATCTTCCTCCTCTAAACTCCCTTTTTAAATTTTTCACTTATTTCAGTGTGTGGGATCAAACACAGGGCCTAACACATGCTGAGCATACACTTAGAAAGAATGCTTTTTCAGTAAGGCAGAGTTGCTCTTCCTATGAATCCAGCAATAACTAGGGGTCCAAATACTATTTTCCATGCAGGGAAATGGCAGAAAAAAAGATGGACAAAGTCTCTGCCCCCAAGGACTTAAATTCTGTTGAGGGAAACAGGAAACAAATACAAAGATACATATAATAATAGGTAGCGGTAAGGACTATACAGGAAAAACTGGGCATGGTGGCGCATACCTATAATCCCAGTGAATCCAGAGGCTGAGGCAGGAGGATCACAAGTTCAAGACCAGCCTCAGCAATTTAGTGAAGCCCTAAGCAATGTACTGAGACCCTTTCTAAAAATAAAAAAGCAGGCAATGTGGCTTAGTAGTTAAGTGTCCCTGGGTTCTATCCCTGGTACACACAAAAAAAAGCCTGCAGGAAAATAAAGCAGATAGCTGTGAGAAGGTGTTGAGGACAAGCACCCTGTAAGGAGAGACTGAGTGACACTGGGTTTTGAATCCTGGTACTCTGCTTACTTCTTTTTCTTTTTTGGTACTGGAGATTTAACCCAGGGACATTTTACCACTGAACTACACCCCCAAGCCTATTTATTTATTTATTTATTTACTTAGAGACAGGGTCTCAAATTTGCTATCCTCCTGCCTTTAACCTCCCAAGTCACTGGAATTGCCCACATGCATCAAAGTGCCCAGTGTAGAATGTTTCTTAATTTCTGTCACCCTCAATTTGCTTCTTTAAAATTATGGTGATGATTTGCACAAGAATAAATTTTTGTGGGGATGGAGCTGATGCCTGTGAACATTCTTAGCATTGTAAGAGCTCAGAAAATGCTTTTCTTCTCCTTCAGATGTTGAAACTAAGGCTAAGTTTTGTAGGATCTGAGTCCCACCATCTCCCTTTTGGATAAGGTTCCCCAGCTCTTTGAGATGAACTGATTTCCAGGTTTACAAAGAGAAACCTGATCTTACATTTTGTTGGCAGAACCAAGTTTGAAGAGTATAAGAACTCTCTTCCATTCTACCTGTGCTGTGTTCCCTTGAGGTCAGCCAGTGTCTCATCACCAGAAGGGCTTTACAGGCAGCCCAATTATGCATGGCTTGGTGCTAGGCTTTGTCAAAGCACACACACTAGAGAAAACAGAATCAAGTAGTGCAAACAGCTTGTGCATGGGTGCTATGTGTGGGTAGCTGTGGGAGAATGAGGGAAAAGGTGTTGGAGGAAGACAAGCAGGAAAAAAAGCGGTGGGTGTTCCATGTTCAGGTGGTTTTGGTGAGAAACAACTGTCAGCTCTCCTCTGATAGGTCCGGACCCATAGCCACCCCCAATCCAGGAAGCAGTGGCACTTTTGCTTTTGTCTCCTGCCTGGAAGCAAAGGACTCTTTGCAGCACACTCAAAATGAATGATTTTTCTACTTTCAGCCAATTTCAGTTGCTGCCGTAAAACAAGGCCCCCAGCTCTCTAGGGTTCTAAACTCAGCAAGAGGAACACTGTTCTGCTGGTCTGCAGGAGGTGGCTCAGAGCCATGAGCATAAACTTAAATACCTAGAGTCCGACAAAAAACATCTACAAGCACCAGACATGGTGGTGCACATCTGTAAACCCAGCTACTGAAAACACTGAGGTAGGAGGATTGCCATGGTCAGGCCAGCATGGACAATTTAATAAGACCTTGTCTCAGAATAATTTTTTTAAAAGGGCTGGGGATGTAGCTCAAAGGTAGTATACTTCTGGATTCAATCCCCTCAAAAAAAAAAAACAACACATGAAGCTGGCCAGATGTGAGACTGGGGTGACTTGGACAGCACTTGTCCTGTGTAGAAGGACAGGCACTATTCATTTTCTACAAGAATGTCACCAGGCTTCCCATGGCCTGTTTTTGTTTTAAAACCAGAGAAACCCGAAGTCTGAGATTTTGTATGAAATTTTTCACTTTGTAAATGCTGACAACTAATTCCATTTTTTTCTTTTTTTAATTGTGTGGGCCAAACAAAAGGCATCTGCAGGCCTTTACCAGTTTGCTGCCTCTGCCTTGGGCTCAAGGACATGTGAGCCCAAGAGTTACCCAGGAGCATGTGAGCAGGAGGGGTTGCCAATAGTATCAAGCTATATCAAGTTGGGGCATCTGAGACTCAAAGAGAAAGGAATCCTGTGCTTTATCAAAATTGTTGTTCCAAATAACAGCAACTGGTGTTCTAAATTTGAGCTCAAAATAAGGTTGATTTAAAGCAGTGATTATCAACCATTTTTTCCTCCCTTTCTGCAAGCCATTTCCATGCATTACACACACAGTAGAGTCATAACCAGGGGGAAAGGGAAGGAGGAGGACTAGTTATGCATTGATTAAAAGAAATGCCACCCCTTTGCCTTTTGGAGATTCTTATATGCCAGTCTTCCTCACCTAGAAAAATGCTCAGAAGTGCATGTTTAGTCTGAAAGTGATCCAGACTTTTTTTTTACTGGGTTTTACTACTGTCCTAACCACATGCAGTATTCAGCTTTGTTCTAAGAGGAATAGGATTACAAAGAATGTGCTAAGAGTGAAGGCTTCAGAGACTGTTGTGACTGTGGAATGACCATATTCCCTAGAGGGTCCGGGGCTGCCCTCGATTCCATGCTGGCCCTCTATTCCTGGCGAGGAGGACTAAGGGGTGACTGAGGAAGGCCAAACCTAGGCAAGATGAGCTTCCTTAGAATGTAGACATTTGGTCAGGTGTGGTGGCATATGCCTATAATCCTAGGAGCGTGGGAGGCTGAGGCAGGAGAATCAAAAGTTCAAAGCCAACCTCAGCAATTTAGCAAGACCCTAAGCAACTTAGCAAGACCCTGTCTCTAAATAAAATATAAAAAGGTCTAGGGGTGCTGGGGCTATAGCTCAGCGACAGAGTGCTTGCCTAGCACGTGTGAGGCACTGGGTTCAATCCTCAGCACCACATAAAAATAAATAAAGGCATTCTATCCATCTACAACTACAAAAAAAAAAAAAAAGACTGGGGATGAGATTCAATGGTTAAGCACCTATAGGTTTAATCCTTGATACCAAAAAAAAAAAAAAAATTGACCCAAGAAAGTTGTGACCAGATTCCAGTTCCCATCACTCAGGAAGATGGATGGGACTCCCAAGACTGGCAAGAAAGATGCATTTGTTGATTTTGCTGTGGTTGTTCCTAAACCTATCTATCCAGAAACCAGTCAGGCCCTGCAAGTAGAAACCTTCCTTGTGAGGAAGCTTTCCTGGCAAATCCAGCTGCTGTGGGAGGGGTCTTCTCATGCTGTCCTCTGTATATCAAGGCTACAGTGCTGCTCAGCTTGGCAACCTCTGAACTCCCAGGCCAGAAAATGAGTACCTGTGCAACTGCTTCTCAAGCTGCAGAGGGTGGGCTGGGAGAATGGACTCA